TCTGACATCCGTCAGGAAGTAATAATAATAATAATAATAAATAAATAAACTTTTATTTGTACCCCACTATCATCTCCCGAAGGACTTAGTGCGGCATACAAGAGGCCGAGCCCAAATACAACAATAAAAACAGCAGCAATAACAACAACACAATAACTCAAATAAAATAACTCAAAAAAACACAATAACTAAAAAAAAAAGCCGCCAATATTGAAAGGACCAAGGCAGTGACATCTCCGGCCCATCCTCTGTTCGGATATTAGCCAGTATGCCAATGCCTTAAATTGAGAAATAGCTTCTTAAGCTCTTCAGAGATACTTGTAGGAACACCTCAGCAAGCGAGAGTCCAAAAGTGGCAGGTTAAATCCCAGAACTTCAATCAGTGGCTGATACCAGATGAGAGACTCCCCCCTGGGCACACAGAAAACTGGGGGACTTGAAAGATGCTGAACAGACTGTGCTCTGACACCACGAGATGCAGAGCTAACCTTAAGAAATGAGGCTGCAAAGTGGAGTCCACGACATGCGATTGTGGAGAAGAGCAACCTACATTCCACTTACTACAATGCAGTCTGAGTAAGTGGACAATGGAGGACCTTCTCACAGCGACACCAGAAGCACTCCAAGTGGCCAGCTTTTGTTCAAATGAAATTTAGTATAATGCCAAGTTTTAAACTTTTTCGTGTTTTTAAATACATGATAACTGTACCTTCAATTCACAATAAATAAAAATAATGAGCACAGAACTGTTCTGGGGCAAGAGAATTGATGAGTGGGTGATTATTTCATTCCACCCTTCCTTTCCCACCTTGAAATTAGGGTGTAAATAAACAGCGGATTTATATTTCTATGTAATTTATACAAACACTCCTACACATACAAACAAAAATCCTTGTTCTGTTGATCTATGCTTCCTGTTGTTAAATCTTGACTGCTAGTTTAGCTCCAGTTCTCAAGTCTCTCGCCTGTTTACTTCATTTTTACTTGCCCCATCCCCATGACAACAGCTGGAGAGAGGAGAGATTGTCTGATGCCGCCTGCAAAGGCAGAACATTGCCATGAAAGGAGGGGAAAAAGCATGTGAAGAAGCTGAGAGCACAGCCGGGACCTGCTTTTCCACCTTTCTCCTTCCTTCTGTGATTCTACTTTTGGTTGAATAGACCCTTCATGCTGGGTTATTCTCAGAGACCATCATTCTCATTATAGGATTCAAAGCTTCTCTGGCAATAAAATCTTAATCACATGACACACTCCTTTTGTGTAAATGCTGCTGAAGAAAACACTCCTATCCTTATTCTAACTTATTCACTGGCTCAGGATTGATTGCATTTTAAAAGTAAGTTCAAGGTTAAATGAGACATCGGATGAGATGCTATACAGCAGCATTTCTCAACCTGGCTGGATTGTGAGGGGGTTTCAAAGGAGTAGTCAAATATCATCAGTAAACTCAGTATTTTCTTTTGGTCATGGGGGTTCTGTTAGAAAGTTTGGCCCAGTTTTACGGTTGGTGCGATTCAGAATGCTCTTTAATTGTAGGTGAACTATAAATCCCAGAAACGACAACTCCCAGATGTCAAGGTCTGTTTCCCCCAAACTCCACCAGTGTTCAAATTTGGGCATATTGAGTATTTATGCCAAGTTTGGTCCATGCCCATCATTGTTTGAGTCCACAGTGCTCTCTGAATGTAAGTGAACTACAACTCCAAAACTCAAGGTCAATGCCCACCAAAACCTTCCAGTATTTTCTGTTGGTCATGAGAGTCCTGTGTGCCAAGTTTGGTTCAATTCCATCCTTGATGGAGTTCAGAATGCTCTTGATTTGTGGGTGAGCATAATTTAATTAAACCCAACCGAGTGATGGGCAGTGCTCTCTTGCCTGTATTCGCTCAGCAGTTCCCAGTAGCTATTCCTAGGATTGTGTTTGCAAACACAACACGGATAGTAAAAAAGTTTCCACCTGCCTGGAGTGTGAGAGAAATATTTTCTCCCTCTCCTCCCTTCCCCTCTGTCAAAACAAAAACGTTTGTGAGATAGAGAGTTATTTTGTCACCTGACCAAACAATGCACACGTGTCCTGGGAATTTAAACACGGGAGCGCTCTTCCTTATCTCCAGGGACTATGAAACATAATTACTATGTAACACAATTTTGGTTCTTGGGTTATAAAAGGCATTTCCTAATTGGTTCTATCACAAAAACATGGAAACAGTTTATTAAACTGCAAAAAAAAAAACAACCCTTTGTTTCGGCGGGACATCCTGCGGGACATTTTGCAATAGTTTTCCCACGAATAGCTCATAGAGTCTCAACCAATTTAACATCATTTGCGTAAACTACAAAAATGAAGTTTCTGGAGGATAACAACTACTTTTAAAGTAAGTATAGCACAATTAAACAGAAAATAACACTTTCAAACCAGGAACAGAAGATTTTTCAAATTTTGATACACAGTGTAAATGGATGTCCCATTAAGAGATTATTCACACTTGAGAATGAATAC